ACCTGGAAAAGATTCAAAGAATTGAAACAAGTTTTGATTTGTGATCAAAGAGACATCACATATAATATGCACAGACTCCACTAAATGAAAGGACAGGTGGATATCTAACCTTCACTATCACATTTAGGAAAATTGCACCCTGAAGATTTCTAGCTTCGACTGCATTAATACCAACAACACACAACATGATGATGATGATACCACCCTCCTTCGCCAGGCTATCTCGGCAGGGAAATTACAAGGTGTGAAAGTGGCCCCCCGTGCTCCTCGTATTTCGCATTTATTCTTTGCGGATGATTCTTACCTTTTTCTTCGAGGGTCCCTCGAAGAATGCGAGAATTTGATTGAAGTTCTTAACGAATACGAGGAGTTGAGTGGGCAGAGAGTTAATCTTGAAAAGTCAGCGGTGTGTTTCAGTAAGAATATCGCGACGGAGGATCAGGAGTTCCTAGCGGCAATTTTGGGGGTGGGGGCTGTGGGCGTCCATGATAAATATTTGGGCCTCCCCTCTCTGATAGCCCGTTCCAAAATGGCTACTTTCCGCTACCTGGAGGAGAAGCTGCTGGCTAGGTTACAGGGGTGGAAGAGGAGGACATTGTCATGGGCGGCAAAGGAGACACTGATTAAGTCAGTGGCGATGGCTTTGCCCCTGCATGTCATGTCCTGTTTTAAGCTACCTCTGGCTCTTTGTCGCCTCCTGGACAAGCATGTAGCCCGTTTTTGGTGGGGGGTAGAGGAGGGTAAAGCTAAAATTCGGTGGATTTCTTGGAAGAACTTATGTAAAAGCAAGCATGAAGGGGGTATGGGTTTTCGACGTTTTGAGTTGTTCAACCAAGCTTTGCTGGCTAAAATTGGTTGGCGTATTCTTACGGAGCCCCAGTCTCTTCTCTCCCAGGTGTATAAGGGCAAATATTTCCCCAATGGGTCGTTTCTGACGGCTCGGGCCCGATCTCGTCCCTCTTGGGGGTGGCAAAGTATCCTCTTTGGCCGTCAGTTGTTGGATTCTGGGCTGCGATGGCAAGTTGGGAATGGGCGGAAGGCACCTCTGCTTTCGTCTAGTTGGATTCCCCATCAGCATCCTAACCATCCTGTTTATAACCCATGTGTGGTTCCGGATGGGGAAGAGTTGCTGGTGGAGGAGGTCCTCCACCCGGGAGAAGGGCGCTGGAATGATCAAAAGTTAAGTCAATGGTTTGATCCAGATACCTGTAAAGCCATTAAAGCCATCCCTCTGCCACGCCAGAATATTGAGGATAGATTGATTTGGCACCCGACTTCTGATGGTATTTTCTCAGTTAAATCTGCATATTATGTTGCGGTGAATTTGGATCGTCAGAAGGGGCGGTGGAGAGCCGTGGCTAGTTGGATGGATAAGCCAAGCTGGATCAGGTTGTGGGAGGCGGACATTCCTCCAAAGCTTAGGGTGTTCGTTTGGCAAATCTTTCATAGAATCCTTCCTACTACGGAAGCGCTGCGAGATAAAAAGGTGGACGTTTTGCCTCGGTGTCCGGTATGCTGGGCGGCATCGGAGACTCTTGAGCATATGTTCTTGGATTGTCCGGTGGCTCGTGCATTATGGGAGCATTCGGGGCTTGCTGATGTGGGTGAAGGTTTGCCTCGCCAAACGTTCCCGATCTTCCTGAGGAAATTGCTGGCAGTGGTGCAAAATTCTGCTATGGTGATGTCGATAGTGGCGGTTCTGTGGCGGATTTGGCGGTCCCGGAATTGGGTGATCTTCGAGGGTAAACAATTCGGGATCCCTGCCTTGGTGCGGCAATTCAATCAACAAGTGCAGGAGTGGCTGAGCCTACCCCGGACCCGGATTGAGCAGGCTGCTGCCCCCCTGGCCCCGGCCACGATACCTTATGCTGCCGGAACGGCAATTTGTATGTGGGATGGGGCGGTGCGGGTGGGGTCTCATGCGGCCGGGGGGATGGTTATCCTGGATTCTGAGAGAGCGGTCATTCTTGCGACGGGGGTTCATTTCCCGGAGCTTGGTGACCCCAGCATAGTTGAAGCTCTGGCACTTCGGGAGGCGATTAGCTGGTGCTTGACGAATGGTTTCACTAGCATGAGGTTTGAAGGTGATGCCCAGGTGGTAATTGATAAGATTCTCCGGCGGGATACTCGAGATAATCATATGGGAGCAATTCTGGAGGAGATAGTTAGTTCCTTTGCTTCGAATGTAGATTTCTCTATACGATTTGTAGGTCGGCGGAACAATAGGGTAGCTCATTTGGTAGCTAGAAAAGCCCTGGCCTTGTTCCCGAATGCATGTCGTTCGTTTGATTTCCAGACCTGGCTGAATTCCAGGATGTACTGATCTATTCATTTTTAATCTAATGATTATCTTTTGTCAAAAAAAAAAAAAAGATGATGATGATACCAAAGCCAAACGCCAAATTCCTCTTGACAAAATTCGCTAGCATGATCATCATCAAATCCGGTGCACATAAGCACCATCAACATCATCAAATCCATGGCTTCTCACATTCTTGTTCTTGCTGCAAAACCAACATTCAAATCAACATCAACACCGGTGATCGCAATGTTGTTCCCACCATCCCCATCCTGGACGGAAGTTGAAAATAATCTCACATCAATCGGACTGAAGCTGCCAACTTCGGAGCATTTTGATGGAGATCAGGAAAGAATTATAGATTTGATGAGAAGGAAAGCCAAAAGTGGGGCAAACGTGCCGACCTATTGATGACGCCATGTTGTCAAATTGAATCTCCTTTCGCATAGTCTTCGTGAAGCCTTTGAAGACCCTCTATTTCGACGATGGCGCCCGATCCTCCCCGTTCTCGTAGAACACCAGCTTGATTTTCTCCTATTCCCACCGGCGTCGCTGTTTATCTCGATCCCGACCTTCGATGATCCTCTGTTTCCTGCTCTGCCGCCACTGCTACAGTAGGAAACTAGGAACAACGCGATTACAAGAGATCTAACACCGATCCCGAAATTATCAGAGCCATCCCAACGATGCTCAATGCCAGGATATGAGCTCCGATAGCCAACGTCCTCTCGATTTACCGTCGGCGACACAAAAGCTAGGGAGAATGAGAAACCAGATCTGGCAAGCAGAGCGTGGAAGCAAGAATATGGGAAAAGATATTTTAATTTTGTTAGTTTTTTTTGTTGTTTTACGTTTTTATGGGAAAATAATATGGGAAAACTGATGTTACAATAACAACACATGGGGTGTTGTTATAGTATCCTCTCCATGCAAAAAGGGTCAACCGGTGTAGCAAAAGGTTATTGATGTATGCATGTTTCATGTAATTTGGTCAACCTACAATTCATGAGGTTGGCCTGTTCAACGGAATAGTTGATTGTTTGGTTCTTCAGTCATCCTTAATATCACATAATACAAAGTCAAGAAGCCTTGTTGAGGTAGGTATTTTCCCTTGAGGTCATTCAATCTCTGGAAGTAGGAATAACAACAAAACCCCTTTTTGCATATAGGTCGACCACTTTCAAGTGAAAACAACAGTCTTGTTAGTTGTTCCAATCAACCATGATGTTATGCAGGTCGAGCGGTTTTGAAGAACATAATGTGCAATACCGTAGTTGAAATCTCAAAACTGTAACACCTCGACATTTGGGTTAGGTTCGACTGATAATCAATTTGGTTTGGGTAATGTAATACCCACTATGAATTGGGAGTTTTATTTTAATTAATTTCTATTGATTAATCCTAGTTTAGGATTGTAAATTTTAATTAAAAAAATAGTAAAACAATCCCCCAACCCGTCCTATTAAACCCCTCCATAAACCTAATATATATATATATATATGGTTCAGGCTAGCGTACGCCCGGGCGTACGTTAGACTACCGTACGCCCGTTTGAGTTTTGCTATTTAGATCATGAATTAACCAGAGTTTTGGGCATGATACTATACCCTAACCATTAATGGATAAACCCCGGTCCCTAGTTTTCTAACCCAAATCATGAGATTCGTTTAATCTTAAAATGAAAATTAATAATAATTTCGTCGAATCGAAACCGTTGATTTTCATTTCAAGATTAAATGAATATTATGCTTTGGGTTAGTTAATTGCAGACTAGGGTTCACCCATTATGGGTTAGGGTATAATATCATGCCCCAAACTCAGGTTAATTCATTGTCTAAATAGCAAAACTCAACGGGCGTCACTAGCCTACGTAAGCTAGTCTTTGCCATATATTAATATATAAAAGCCTTGGTTCCAGGCACTGTTCATTAGTGGCATCCACTTTCCTCTCTGCGACTGGCCTTCGTCCACGATTTACCTCTGTATTGGGCCACATGCCACTCTCCCTCCTCTCACAGAGGAAAGCAAACCAGCCTTTTACCCGACTCGCCGCTGAATACACGCTGGATTTATCCTTTGTCCGCCGGTTTTCTTCCAATGTTTGCCCAACTGTACTTATCACCTTCTCTGATTAGACCATTGCTTGCCAATCTTCCCACTGAATCAGTCTGCTTCTCAGCTTCCACCTCGAAATGATTTCCCTTCCCTTCTCTATTCTTACACGCTACCCATGTCGCTTCCGTGCTGCCTTACTCCTTGGAACTCACACACCAAACGAAATCACTTTTTCCACTTCACTTCCTCACAAAGCCCCTTCCTTTTCAAACCTTCCTATCCCACAGCGACGGTGGAATCTCAACTCCCTACCCCTCTCCACCGCTTCCAACCTAGCCTTTATCATGTCGCGCACCGCCGATCGCCGGCGTGACCGCCGCTCCAAACCGGCACCTGTCGACCTTGCTCCCGCCTCACCGAAAGCTGTCGCTGGCTGCCGAACGCCAAACAACCACAACACCCGTCGGCCTTGCTCCCGCCTCATCGCGCGCCGCCGCTAACAGGCGCGACCACCGATCCAACCCAGCACCGACTCCAACACCTGTCGAACCTGCTCCCCCCTCACCACGTGGCGCCGCTCCAACCCAGCATCGCCCCCATCACCTGGCGACCCGGCATCAGTTTGTCATTCTGTTCCTGACGCGATAGGTTACGCGACATCGATGCGGCACCTGAGAAAAGGGGAATCAGTCGGTGGGATTGGAACGCTCAGCCCGGGATGCCGGAGAAACGTGTCACAACACAGAGGGGAAGAGAAAGAAGAGAGGTAAAGGAACATTTTGTTCACTTGTGTTCCAATGTCTGGATTACTTTCGGTGGAGGGATAGTTGCGTGCTTGAAATCTTTCCCGCGATCGACACTGAAATTTGTACTTCCGTTGAATCGCATCTCGCTCGGTCTTTGACGGTGATGGCCGAAGCCAACCATTACTTCCATGGAATAGAGGAAAGAGGAGGAAGAGATGACCGTCGTCCCCAATAGAGATTCTGTAATCCTTTTCTTTTCGTTTAGTGATTTCCTATCGAATTTTGAATCGCTTGCTCTGTTTTCCTTCTATGTTGTGTGTAGTGTCGGGGAAAATGCAGAGGTAACGGAGGTGCCGGAGATCCTGGCAGAACACGAGATTGATCTACATGAATACCGTCCTGTGGTTAACTCTATACGTAAGAGACCTGAAGCTTGGTTGCATTCAATATGAGTGAGTATGCCACACTGAATTCTCTAGGGAATATGTTGCTAGGTTCGGCAAGGAACCATAGATTTGTCTGCCAATAAGTATTTAGGCAACAGATTGGTGAAACAAATGATTGTTTGCTTTTACTTGCTGATTTCTTATTGTCATATCATGTTCTTCTTACCGTTGATTGTATAATCCATCCTTTTGCATCTATTGAAACTATCATGTGTTTTGTTCTTCCTGCTATAACTTATAAATTCACTTCTTTTCTTCAATTAGATGCTGTGTACTTTCCATAAGCTCCCATATTCTTGCTTTTGGTTTCGAATATAGGCTTATGAATTAGTAAGAAAATTCGAACTATCCTTAAGTACATCCAATATCTGTAATGCCAGCAAGGGGCTGAACATCCGATCATGTGGCAAGGGCCACAAACGTTCATGCTCACAACTGAAACTGTTATTCAGTTTTAATGGATTCTCCTATTAAGTTATATTTAATGGATTTACAAGAGACTTCTCCATTAATATAATGATGCAAGTGGTTCTAAACAGGTAGGAATGCTGAACTTTGTGAGTTCTGGACCTTCAGATTAAATGTTTTTTCGCTGAAAGTGATCCTCTCTTTCCTTTACCAATTGCAGGCTTGCAGCTGTTGTTTTTCTTTTCATAAGATTATCAACTTTTGGGTTCTATTTGTGGCGGAGTGATAAGGGTGTTCACAATACTCTATTTGTTGTCTTGGTCTACTTTATTTTGCATGGTGACTCGAGCAGAAGTTTAGCCTTTTGGTCATATATACCGAATGGTTGTTTTGGAGATGAAAGAAGGGAGCTGAAGAAGATGCTTGATTACAAAAGAGTTGGTGCCCTATAATAATATTTATATTAAAGATATATTTATATTAAAGAAGAATGCTATTTGTATTGTTACTTCAGATTCGGTATTGGGTACTGTTGTTTGGAATGGCAATAGGGCATAATATCTTCTCGCGTAATTATAAATTATTAAAGCACAATCCTGCCTCTAAGGTGGTCCCAAGTACTTTAGGAATCGGCTGTAAGGTTGTATTTAGGCTGTGGTGGAGTTGGACTAGGAAGACGAGGAGAAAGATGCAGCGACATACGCGAAGTAGCAGTCTCAGAAAGAAGTTGCCCTTGATCACTGACTTTAATGGTATGCAGTTCAGCTTTGTTATTTTGCTTACTTTGCAATTTCAGATTTCTTCCCATGCTAAATGCTACAATCTAATTTTTTCCTTTCTTTTTCTCACAACTACTGGATGTCACTGACAAACGTGTTGTGATCACAACATAGACCCTGTTCCCGGAGAAGATTCCACCGCTGTAACCCAACAAAGAACCCTGCTCAAGGGATCATGTATTGAAGCATATTTCTTAAACGTGTGAGTCCTTGGAAGTCCACATTTTAGTGCTCACAGATATAACATGGTTTAATAGTTCGCCTTATATCAAATCACTCTCTTATTATGTCTGTTGACCACCCTTGAAAGTCTACTTGATGTGCTTTGTTTCTCACGTAGATCTGTCAAACTTTGATGCTAGGATGCCATGGTAGGTCCTCATATGGCCAGTTAAATTCGTCTTGAATTTCACATAACTAGCCATCATATTATACCACAAAGTTAATGATACTTTGCTACTCAAGAAGATACTGCATGCCAAGAATTGATCCATTTGCTTATGCACTTAGATGAAGGGAGTTTTTCCTTTTCCTGTCATCCTTATTTTGTTCCTTCCAGGTGATCGCTTCCCTCTTCGACTTGCTGAATATGCGGAGAAATTTACAGACTTTACTTCTTTTAAATTTTACATCTAATCTAAGGACTGTTTATTTCCAGTCAAAGTTTCTTCTCTTTGTTTTTCCCTCTTTCATTTCCCCATTGTGTTTGATTGCATATCCTTTCTATCAGCCCTGATCTTCTTTCTTGATGTCAATGTTTGTTTCATGCTAAGCTTATATTAAGTCAGCACAGAAATTGGAAGCTATCTTACTTTGACGTGATGACCTGTTGGGGAAAGTTTCAGCCAAAAGAGTTGCAACATAGATCTATCAGTTTCTCCACCAATCATAAGTATGTGTGCCTCATTCTCTCGGTTCTTCTTCCTGCATTCTGCTTTTGGTAAGCTTATTCTCTCCAATTGATGTTCTGATACTCGATGGGATGAGATATCTGACTCATTTGTATAATTTAAAGCCTCTTTAGTGATGCATTTAATTTAGCCTGGAAGGAAAGCTTTTTGAGTAAATTTCATCCTAAATCAATCGATTCTACTTGGGGTTCGGATCCTGAAGGTCCTGTTAATCAAAGAGACAATTCCCCTAGAACAATTTGTAACCAACGAATTGACATGACGAAACTGCATTTCAGATGCTGTGCTGCACAAGCCGGTTGATTTAAGTATTTCAAAACTCATGTATATTCTTACCCCTTTAGATGTCTTGCGGCTTTTGCCACGGTAGCTGGATTTTCTAATTAGCTACATAGCGACCCTATGGCTGTTAAGCCGTATACCACACTTTTAATCACAACTCTATATAAGTTTGAATTGATATAATGTCTGCCTAAAATGATATTGCATGCTGTAATTCATACCCTTTAAGAGACTTTTAGGTGCATCATTGAAATAGGTAAGTACAATTCATTCTTTCTAATTTCCTACTCCATGTCAGCACTTACATAGGATGAACTTTTGATGCTTGGATTACTTTTGATGACTCCTGGAAAGGAACGAGCCAACGGCGACTCATACCACTCAAGTATTCGTATGAGGTGGCATGGGATCTATAATCCTGATGGATTTTGATACAGTTCTTAATATATATCCTTATGCAACTTGAAGTATTTTGGAGCTTATGGTGTGAACTTGAATGATGAAGATGGAACTGCGTTTTTTATATTTACTTTGTAGAAAGGATGGATAATGCTGGTGATTGGGTGATGGGTGGAGGTTTTAAATGAGCAATTGGCTTTACTTTTTCCACCTACAGCTACGCTCATTCTAGATTTTGCTTGCTGTCAGCCTTCCCCAAATCAATGGTAGACGTAGTACATTGGAGATTCTTTTCTCATATGAGATGGTACATGGAAGACTATTTATGTACTACAGTATGTAACAATTCAATATTTTGCCGAGGCTTAACGCGATGCTAGCAACTAGCAAGGTAATAGCTCTATACAAAGACTACCCAACACATATGTATTCTTCCAGGCTGTTTTTTACAATTATCAAACTGGTCTTTAGACGTTATCTTCACCTCTATGATAATATCATGCGTGTTGAATGTATTCACTTTTCCATTTTATAGTTTGTTATTGCTTATGCGCGAAGCGTAGCGAGCGGGCCATTGCTAGTATATATATATACTCCCTCTACCCCGTGAACAGCAACAAATCCCCACCCACGTTCTATATCTCCCACAAGGAACCAACCAAAGAGCCGCCGCTAGTGAGAGATAAATCGAAAGATAGCTGGAGTGAAGGAGAACAGTAATTGAAAAGAAAGGAAAAGGTTTCTGGACCGGTGGGAAGGGCAAGAAAGATCCAAGTTCCGCGAGGGGAGACCTAGAAGTCGTTTTGGAGTAGAAGTGAGCAAGACACTGCCCGATTTTTAATGGAAATGGGTATGAAGCTACGGCCGTGCGCGCGACCATTGATGCGAGAAGGGGAAAAGACAAAGCAGTGGGACGAGAGAGTAGATAACATCGACGATCAACAACAGTGGGGAATTGGATGGAGCATGGTGAGGGACGTGAGGCAAGTTCCATGCCAAAAGCCGAAGGACGTGATCGAGGAATCATGCAAGGCTGCCGCTACAGCCAAGGTGGACAACCGTGAGAGGTCATTTTGGTGGACCAACGAGATTGGGAGGTAATAGATTTTTTTTCTCTCTCGTCATTTAGGGTCATCGTGGGCTGAGGTAGAGGATTTATTATCAAGACAGGAGACAAACCCTTTTAGCTCTTAGGATGGATTAGTTGTGAGAATATACAATAATTAGAATATGCGGGTTGCTCCAATGAAGAGGGTTGTTTTGCTAGCTTTACAAAGCCACAGGTAGAACCAACCATGGGTTAGTGTTGGTTGGGCTTAAGAATGGTTGGCAGCACAATAATACCTAGACACAAACTCGTAGGTCTTGTGGGCAAAAGACAGTATGAGGAAGAATGATTTAAGTGGTACATATATCCCCATCCTAGGACTTCTATTTAATTAATTAGTTTTACGGGGATGAGGTTAAGAGGTGTATATGTTCACAATGTCTGTAGAGACGAATTGGAGGTACAGTTGGATGGTTTTTCCAAAGGATGGAGGGTTGAAGATTCACTGCGAATTAAATCTAAGGTGAGTGTAAAGGGGGTAAATTCTACGCCTTACGTGTTCTTTCAAGCTTTACGAGCTTTAAGTATTTTGATGAAGTGACTGTTATTGCTTGATTGTGTTTATGATTGGTGATATGTGTCTGGTTTGAGCTTTGCTTGAAACGATTATGTATGAGTTATTATTTACTTTAAAGCTTTATATTTATGAGTTGTTATTGAGGGTTAAGAAACAAGTTCTTCTTAAGAAGTACTTCACCTTCAAGAAGGTGAAACCATTTTAAGAGTTTTAGTCACTAGCGCCAGTCCGTTGCCATTTGAGTTTTTGAGATAGAGCAGCAGTTATGCTCTTGAGACTTTTAAGATGAGCAGCAGTTATGCTCTTGAGATATTTTAAGATGAGCAGCAGTTATGCTCTTGAGAATCGTTGAAGAAGAGCCTTCCACGATAAGTTTAAGTTTAAGGAAAGCCTGGATGGCTTCTCATACGTATGAGTAGGGAAACCGGACTAGCTAGTGAGGGATCCCCGTGTCAGTCAAACATTTAAATCAAGATTTGAGCTTCAAGAAGGGAGAGTAAGTTTAGCTCCCGCACAGTTTCAAGAGATAAGATTTTTTAGAGTGGAAGTACAAACAACTTCCACAAGTTTAAGTTTAATTGTCTGAAGTAAAGTAATCAAGTATTAGATTTTAAAACGTAAGGGCGTAGACTGACCCCATCTCACTCACCAGTTTGAAGAGCTAGAGGAGCAGTTAGTGAGCAACGAGTTCGAGGGCAGCCAGCTAGAGGAGGGCAGTATAAGCGTCACGGAGGATGCTTAGTCAAGGTTTTTAGTAGCAACAACATTAGCGATTATTAGTTATTTACATTTATGATTATGAGTAGAGACTGGAGATCATTTGGAGATTAAGGTTTGAGTTTGCCCATGTGTTAGGGCGTTGCTTTGAACTACAAGAAAGTGATTTCAGTATTTTTGTTTATGAAAAATTTTCCCGCTCTTTTTAGCGACTTTGGTTCTTGAGTATTATCAGTTTAACAAGGGTATTTTGGTAAAAGTAGTACCCGGCCGGGTTAGGGTGTTACAAAAACCCACATTACAAATTTGATAATTCATTCCGTAACGCTAAACCCTAAACTCTGATCATAAATGAATATGTTTGATCAATGACTTTCAAGTTTCAAGTGTCTCATAAATCAATACGAAGATGTTATGTGGTTGAAAACAATTATAATGGATAATAAATTTTGTGTATGTAGCTGAAATGACATTTTAATGTTGTTGGATTTTTTGCTTTTATAATGCCTTTCCATGAACAGTACTTCCATTCCATGGATAGTGCAATTATTAGAGCTTATGCCCTCATTAATGATCAATTATGTGAATTACAGTAGTGTGAATTATTAGCATTGTAATAGCAAAAAATGAAGTTGTTTATTCTTTAACATGGGAATTGCTTTACCTATTTTCAGGCTCGTTCTTTTTCAAAAACTATAGAGACATCCCATTTCGTCAATTATGGGATTTGGTGACGAGCAATAGGTGAGATGGGGT